AAAAAAAAAAATCCCTCTCCCAGGAACCACTGGATACTGCAAGCGGCCCATGGTAAGCTACAACTAGAGTGGCCTGCTCAATCACACATTTCTACAATACTTAATTGTAGGAAAATAATACCAATAAGGGCATTTTGACAATTCACATATCAAGGAAATATTACAGTAGCCCGTTAGCCATTCTAAAGGTAAAAGCTACAACGCCAAATGCAGGGAACTGAAGTAAACTAAATCCAGCTGAGATGAAAAAGATAAATTGCTAAAAGCAACTGCACTGCGCTATTTGTAACCTGCACTGCCATTAGCCGGGGTGTATGTGAGCATGACGGCGAGCCGCAGCACACGCAGGAAGTGACTGTGCAGAGCCAGCGAGAAATAATGGCATAAGCGAAAGCTCTGGGGTGAGGGAGGTCGGGTCTGGCCATCGTACCAGCTGGATGACTTTGAACAAGTCTCACTGCCTCATTTATAAAGTGAATCTAATACCACTTCATGCTGCACAGGACTTCTGTGATACAGCAAAGTTCCTGGGTAAGTTCTTAATGAATGTTAGGTCCCTTCCCCTTGTCAATCAGGTGGCCCAACACTGAATACGGCTGTTTCCCAGGAAGGCAACAATCTGGTGTCAAAAAGATGCTAGTTTTTACTGCCTAAATGTGCAGCTGCTGAGCAAGAATTACGTACACAGGGACCAGAACTTTAGGAGCGATCGATAGGAGACCCAGATCAGAGGGGAACTGAAGGTCACTATCCGTGTTCTTTCCAGCACTTTCCAGAAAGGGAGAGCCGTAGACTAACAAAGGATCAGTCTTTGTTACAGGAGAAGCTACTGGAAGGAAGGAGCTATGGTCAGCTTAACAGAGAACTCATTTTCATAAGCCTTTTTTATTAGGTTATTAAGTATGAAATGTCCAATTTCCTTAAGTACTAAGTTTGACAGTTGGTATCTCTGACATTTCACTCTGACACTTTTCTTTTTCATTGTGAAGGGACAGCTTCATTCTTTCAAACACACATTTTGGCTTGTAATTATCTTTCAAAAATTTTTTAGAGCAATTTTTGTGAAACCATGGATAAGCCAAAAATTTGTGTTATTTTTTAATATGAGTTCCATCGTGGAACCAATGCAGCGCAGACAGTTCGAAATATCAATGAAGTGTTTGGGAAGGATATGGCTAATGAATGTACAGTACATTGATGGTTTGAGAAGTTCCATTCTGGTGATTTTAACCTTGAAAATGAGCCATGTGGGCGACCTGACACCAAGGTGGACAATGATGAGCTGAGAGCTATAGTGCAAGCGAATCCATCTCAACCTACACATGAATTAGCAGCAAGGTCTGACGTTACTATTCCAACAATATTGGACCATTTGAAACAAATGGGCAAGGTAAAGAAGCTGGATAGATGGTTCCACATGAATTACACGGGCATTAGAAGAGAAATCACCTCAAAGCTTGCCTTTCTTTACTGTCACTACATAAAGGCAAACCATTTCTATATTCTATTGTTACATATGATGTAAATGGATTATTTTTGACAACTGCAAGCATTTGGCACAATGGTTGGATAAAGATGAAGTGCCAAAACACAGTCCAAAACCAAATGTTCATCAAAAAAAACTAATGGTTTCTATTTAGTGGTCCAGTGCTGGTATCATTCACTATAGCTTAATGAAACCTGGTCGATCAATTACAGTGGCTGTCACTGCAACCAGCTGGATGAAATGATGAGGATGCTTGCAATTAAGCAGTCGAGACTGGTCAACAGAGACAGGCCAATCCTCTTGCAAGACAACGCTGTTTCACAAACAACCTTGCTCAAACTACAGAAGGTGGACTTGGAAATTCTCTGTCATCCACCGTATTCACCAGACCCTGCACTAAGTGACTACCACTTCTTCCAGGCTTTGGACCACTTCTTGAAAGGAAAAATATTCAATTCTCAACAAGCTGTAGAAAACGCCTTTCATTATTATTTCATCGCCACTCGCTCTCCAGGCTTCTTTGCTTCTGGCATAAACAAGCTACTGCTAGAAAACTGTCCACGGTTTAGGCGCATCCTTTGATTAATTGTACTGCTTCTTGTTTGAGACACAATAAACTAAACTTTTAATTTGAAACTGGACATTTGAGATTTAATGACCTAACATTAGAGCACAAAGAATCACTTAGGAACAATTTTTCTTTTTAAACAGATACTTAGGAACACCTGCCTCCTGCTGTGGAAAACCTTAATCCATACCTTGCATTATATACAAAGATTAACTTGGACAGACTATACTTTTGTAGGTTTTTTTCTGCAAGTCAGTCTTCTTTTTTTTTAATTTCAAAATATTAAGGGGGACAAATGGACTGTACATTTAAATATGAAACCTAAAACTATAAAACCTCCAGAAGAAAATATAGGAGAAAATCTTTGCAACCTAGCGTTAGGCAAAGATTTCTTAGATATAAT